CAGCTGGAGTAGGTTGCAGTGCAGTTCTGTCCCCAACATCTCGCTGCCACATACGAACCTGCAAATGATGATATATTAGCAAAAAAAGGCCTCTGACCACTAGAATTCCACAAGAAAAGATCACCCAGAAGATACACTCAATGCACAAGCCTGGAAACTTGCACCAGTACAGTTTGTTATTTCACAAACTGTGATACCATATCTGAGAATTGCAAAACCAGGTAGGAATCTAGACCTAGTGGTCAATCACCTTTCGATTTTGATATTCTTTGAAGGTTCATTAATTTTAGTTCAAAGCATCTTACAAAGTCTAGAAAAAAGGAAAGAAACAAAGAACAACTATAGATACTTCAACAGTGAACAATCCTAGATTTGAAGGCTCTTTCATCTTTCTAAGCTGAAAATAATTTAACCACATGCTGTAATGTAAAAACAGTGAAGCACATGCATGAGAATGCTTAAACAACTCTCTCAACAATACATTTCAATTTGCAGAATAAAATTAATTTGCAGTAAAATAAAAGCTAATTCCTACCAAGCATAACAATGTAAACCGCGACAAAAAAGGAGTAGACCTACCAAGAAATACCACCATCATGTAATAACAAAACATGAAAAAGATGCAATATCAACAATTTTTACATCTTTTCTAGTAATGCACTAGTTCCTTCAATGTGGTACAAGACCCATAAAAAATATGATATAATGAAAGCCAATAAACAGACACATAATCAACAATGGAATTTGCAATTTATCATATTTCAGATATACAATGAAAGTAACCTGCATATATCGAACAACTGTGCTTGTATAATCCACAGCACGCCGTTGAACAACCTTTCGCATTCTTCTAGCAGCAAAACTATCTCCATATGCTGCAATATTAGAATAAGCTCAGATCATAAATGACATTGTGACTCGAATACTAAATCAACTAAGACCTAACTTCTAACTTAAAACTAACCCTGAACCTTCAAAAAATTTCATGAAGTAGATAGTAAACACCAAACGATAGTAGAACTTCAGTAAAGATCTGTAAACACCACGGAGTTAAAGTGAACCAAGTGTGCCACTCAATAACTACCAGTGCACTGAGAATCCCTAAAATAGGTGATGTGATAATGTCTTGGTTGAAACAGATAGGACTGACAGGCAAAACTTAAAATTTTGGTCTGGGGCCAATTCTGGTAAACAGCAAGGTCAGGACGGTACCAATATGATACAATGCACCAAGTGCAAGGTATGAATCAATGATGGTCAGAACTAACGATACCACTGCAAGCAGAAAGGAAAAAAGAGAGAGAGAAAATAGAAAGTGGTAGAGGGAGAAAAAAAAAGGTGGCGATGTGGATAAGCAGCAGCAGCGAGAACGGGGATGTGGCAGCAACATACAAAGAAAAGGGAAAGAAAGAGAGAGAAAGAAACAGATTGGGTTATCAAAGCACAATGGGTACTGAACCTGAACAGTAAGCCAAGGAGGAAGGATGAGGAGTAGAGGGGTGATGTGGTTGAGCAGCAAAGAAGAGGATGGTGTCAACCGAAAGGTGGCAGCAATGCAGGAGAAACATCAACAACAGAAGAAAGAAGAGAAAGAAAAAACAAATGTTAAAACTTAAAAGTATGCTGGGTACTGCTAGGCCTGGTGCCATAAGGTTATCAAGCAGTTAGCTTGGTTTTGAACCGAAATGGAAAAAATTGTCTGATTTACCTACCAGTCGACCATCAAACCTGTGAAAATTGATCCATGCCAACAGGTACCATTAAGACTTTACTACATGCTGACCAGCACAACATTGTCCCTGATGAAATCAATATGCCACAACAAATGCTCAAAAAAGAAAGCCTTTCTCATCAATTTCACCCAAATTGCTCTAGTGACTCTGGCAGGATATTCGCTTCTTGTCCCATGACCCACCACAACTCAAATCCAACCAACTACCACTAACTAGTTCTCAAGTCACAACTCCCCTTCCATCGCCTGGTAGCAAAAGACCTCTGATCGACAAAGGTACCAACTCTCTTCGAGCCAGCTTGACAAAGCATAGTTTGACATACCAGATCTATATTAGTATCACTTTTGGTAATTTCTCTGTCTTATTATCAAAAATCAGTAGAAATTGGCTTCCTTTCTCCAATTCTAGCACATACTCAAAAGAAAGAAAGACGGGGAAGGGAAGAGTAGAAATAGAAGAAACCAGATAAGAAAAGACAAAGGAAACACGAAATAGAGATGTTGTTACCATCATATTTACGAAACAGAGGACAGAGTATTCTAAAAAAACAGTGGTATCATCACAAACAAGGAAGATGTCAAGGTTTTCAAGGCCAATCAAGAATCTCATGGATGTTATCTTCAAATAAATTTCTTCTTTATTTGTATTTGGATCAATGACACTTCACTTCCGAGGTGATTATAGAAGAAATAAGCTCACAATGGGATCCATCGTTATCTTCAAAGCTACAGCTGAATGAGCTTTGAATCTTTTCATTATATCATAGTAACTTACTAATAACATTTCTGTATAATGTAATAAGTATTTTTCTAATAGATTATACTTGTTAACCCCATTGATAGATGTAGAAGATCGTTGCATCAGCACCCATACCAAAGTGTTGAACTCAAGAGGAAACATATATACCTTCAGGTGGACTTACATTGACAAGGCCACTCTGAACCTCATAGAAGAAGTAATCTTCAAGCATATTAATTGTGACACTAATTACCCGTCTTCTTAGCTCTCTTGGATTTCCTTATTGTTAACTTCTCATCAACCTAGACGAAGTGACAGGTTAATTGGCTTAGCCATTTAGGAGCATATTTTCCTGGGTGTTTCTGGTCCCAAGTTGTGTAATCATAGGTCAGAAACTTATCCCAAGTTCTTGGATATGCTTAAGCACACAGCCCGTCTTTTCATTGTCATCATAATTTTGTCAATTTCCCAACCTTGGGTATGACATGCCTGCATTTTTCCAATGATTCCATAAAAAAATGTTAAGGTTTCAAAAGCCAAGTAGAAAGAAGCAGGACCTATCGTAGGGCAGTAACAAAAGAGTCGTTTCTACATGCATTTGGATCCTTCATCTATAACTCCCAAGCCCGATCGTCCGTAAAATAACTAGTATTACAATTTTCTCCACACAAATTCCATGGTTTGCTTTCAATGTGGGGCTCAATAAGTTCAGTGATTGGTGGACATAATAGAGCGACACCAAATCTAGAAATAAAAAAAACTAAAAGTCAAGAACATTCAGATATCTTGCTATCAAACCATCCTACACACCGAAATCATCGACGCCAAACCCAAAAGTCAAGAAAAATTCGCATTCGGTAACTAAGGCTAGAAGAGAACTCGAGCGCATAGACTGGTAACCCAAGAGGAGATAACTTAGACAGCGAAAAAGAACAAAGAGCAAGAATTAGAGGTCACAATTTCCGGAAAGTGGAGAGGGGAGGCTCCTTTACTGCCCCGCTTAGGTCGTACCTTCGTAAGGGGCCGGCGGGCGAGGGAAATCCGGCGCTAGATTGGTGGACGACGCCGACGGCTGCCGTGAAGGAGGAGGCGGTGCGCGGGAAAACTCCGGGTTGTGCGGCTGCTCGCCATACATCATCTTCGTCCGGATTCCACACCCTAACCCTAATCCCGATCGAATCGAAGGTCCACCGGGTTTAGGGTTTGGAAAAAGGAAGCGGCAATATAGTTGGGTCGCGCTCCTAATGGGAGCCAATGAGTAGGCCTCGAGACTTTTGGGAACCGTTTGCTAATTGACCGGACGGAACCATTATATTTCGAGCGCAACGTGTCCCACGCGTCAGATTAGAGAACGCCACGTCATCCGATAATATACACGGCGTTTAATTAGGCCTCCTGATTGGGTCGGTCTGCAAAAAATAATAATATTATTATTATTATTTTGTAACTTATCAATACCTTAAAAAAAAACTTGCAAACACCTAAAAATTCAAACTTAAAACCTCCCCGGGGAAAACTCGAGGTTATTCTATTTTAGGTACCTAAAAATTTAAGATTAAATATTTAAAAAATCTTGAGTTTTAAAAAAAAATTATAAAATATCTCCATTTTTAAAAAATTCTCACGAAACACCCTTTCTTGTATAAAAAAATTATTTTGCATTTACTTTCATATTTTATCGTCATCCTCGCCTCCCTATATTACCACTATCGTTGACCTCATAGGACTCATCCTTTAACATCTCACTCTTATTGTTTTTGCCAGTAATATAAGAGGCAAATGACGAAGGCGCAGGTAGTCAAACGTTGAAACACAAAGGGTAACCTATCATTTATAAAAAATAATGCTATACAAAACTTTATGAAAACTAATATTTTTTTTAGAAATTCACTCAAAAATCGATCTTGGGTAGTAAACCTAAAAAATATTAAAGCTCATTAAATCGACTGCTAAGTGGTCCTCTTTTTATATATGTTTTGATTTGTAACTTAGTAAACAAATATCTATGAGCTTTTGTTACATGTGAATACTAATTTGACGTTTTTTTATTGAAAAACACTGTACTATCATTTTACGTAAAGGTTCCATAAACGTAACAAACTTTCCTATGCCAGATGTGATAGTATTAATAAAAATAAACTAAATCAAGTCAACTTGACTAAGTTAAATTGATAATCAAGTTTGATCATAGCAAACATATGATAATACGACGTCACATGAAAATCGACCACAATAAGTCTCACAAAAATACTACGGTGAATCAAACCAAGAAACTGTATGTATGTATAACAACGACACTCTTAGTAACACATCTCAATCATTCATGGTTGAAGTATGTATTATGTATGTATAACAACAACATTCTTAGTAAAATCCAAATTTCAAGAAGCTTGCACTAGGCCGTCGCTTTGTCTTCTTAGAACACCAACCACCACACTTCATTACTGACGACGATATGATATATAGCTTCTTGGTTCTTATTTTACGGACTTCATTAATGGCGATTGGATTCAGATTAACGGAGGGAGGCTAAGCCACGTAGATGCCGAGTGCATCGAGGTATAAGCCCGAGCGACCGGTGAAGCCAACGATCCTACTGCCAGGTGCCTCCAAGGTGAACGCGACTCCCTCTTCGCGGCCGAACGGACCGTACGTGCGCTTGTTGCTGACGAAGGTCAGCGACCTCAGGATGGAGACGCCATCGAACCTGCCGTAGTGACCTCTGATGGATCTCAAGGTTTCATCATCATCCAGATTGAACTGCACAAGCCGGCCATATAATGATCGGATGAGTTAAGAAATACAAGTGGCAGCAGTCTGCAACCATGGGTGGGTATCGCAGCTTTACCTCGGACATTTGCCCTCCTCCTCCGCCCCACTGGTCGGTCCACACGTCTCCGCCGTTGCGCCGGTACATGATTTTGATCGCATCAATTGCATGTCCATGACGAAGCTGCACCTTCAAGATGCGGTTGCCAGCGCTGATGTCCATGTCTCTCTGACCGCCTCCGCCGCCTCCACAGGGCCCCAAACGAGACGTCCCGGCCTACGAGAAACATGGATCTGATCATTAACCACACAACGCATGACTTAAGAGGAGTGTCTCTTACCATGTTTCAACAAGCTTGAAGGTGAATGGTTTTCCCTTGCGGAGTTGATGACAAAGGAATGAAGCTTACATGCATATATATATCTATATATAGGCATTGGAATGCCCTAGTCTTGCATCAGCAACACTTCATTCGCCGGATGGTGGATGGTTGATGTGAATAGTTAACTAAGACGCAGCCAATTTTTTTGGGCGTCTTTGGCTGTTGACTTGTGCATGATGTTCGATACAAAATGACCTGACTTGATCTAATACAACTTATAAAAAGAAGCTCAAGAATTAGTCGTCGTTGACAGTCTCCTTCCAATCCAATCCATGGAGGATAGATGTTGAGATCACGTCTTACTCGTATGCACATCGACAACATCGTGGCAGAAAGCAACTAAAAAACTATTATGTCATCTCAATCATTCCGTTTGCCATCATCAACGTTTATGCATGATGGATACATTGTGTGTTTTCTATGGATGGTCGTCTAATAGTAACCTAACGGAGGAAGAATTCAAGATTCCCTTTGCCGGTCTCATGGCCGACCTCTGAAACCACTCTCGTTATTTTCTTTTCTCATAGACATTTGAGATGTGGAAAGAGATGGATTCATTCAAGAGAAAATTTTAAACTAGCGTGTGCTCAACTTGGGAATAAATTTTTGTATCGATATTTTCTTTTTCTTTTTCCTTTTCCTTACGGATGGTTGGCAACTGTCAGCATCGATTTTCACTGTGATTCTTTGTAATATTTCGAAGACATGTTCTTAAAATTCTAAATAGAAAGAATTCTAAAAAAAAATTATAACTTTAGGTTTCTCCCGCAAACCATCCCAAGTTTGAAAATTTTTCTCAGATTATTTTTTTTAAATAACTATTTTGCCCTTGATCATCGCCCTCCGCTTGGTCACACCTCCATTCTACACTTGACAGCCTCACTTGTTAGCATTCACCATCATCAATCGTGGCCCTAGTGCAAGGAAGGAGGAGTTCATCATCGACCCTCGCGTGAGGAATGAGGGGTTGACTGTCGACCCTTGTGTGGCCCTTGCATCGACAATTATCGATGAGAGAGGAGGGAGAGGAGTTCAAATAGGGAGAAGGCAATGACGAATTCAATGGGGAGGGAGAAGGCAACGACGAATCCGATAAGGAGAGAGAAGGTCAGCAAGGTCCACTGAGGCGACATGGTCCTCATGTCCCCTCCTACCTCGCGTAAGGACCACCATGGTGAGGGCCAATGGGTCGGACAACTAAGTGTGAGTGGAGGTGTGGCTAGGGCTAGAGCTACAGATAAATTTTTTTCAATGTTATAAGTATAAAATAGTCTTTTCATATAGCCATGGACGTTCTATGAATTTTTTTTGAACATGGTGTATTCTATAGGACAAACCCAAAGTTATGGATTTTTTTTTTTCGAATTTACCCATAAAAATATTTAAATATAGACTATATTTAAATATTAAATTTAGAAATAACTAAATTATTAAATATATAAAATATTTTAAATTCTTATAATCATAATGAGTTTTAAAAGATTTTTATGCTATTTATTGTTTTAACTAAGTAGATTTTTTTTTCAAAAAAAAGGAAAATTATTACTTTAAAGATATAAAAAAATCCATCACCTACTCAAAGAGAGGTCAAGCATTATTTTTATAGACTTAGTTAATTTTGTATAAGTCGTATAATAGTTATGTATTTATTTACAAAGAGTTAGCCTCCCTGAAAGCTTTCGAGGTCTCTTAAGATTATGTAAAAGAAAAAACAAGTTAGTAGAAGTATTAAACTTGAAATCCTATAAGTAGATATTTTAACAAGCAATTGATAAGTAATGCAAAATAACTTTACGAGCCTGATATGGTTGTATCGAAAATAACTTGTTGGATGTGTTATTTTTGGATAATTTTGCTTGTACATAGTGATTACACATATATTACATTTACGAGTCTAAAATGACTACAAAACTCATCTAAAATAGGATTGTCAAACCTATTACAATCTCCTTATATGCTACCTAAGTCATAAATAAAATTTAAAATCATAATATGCATAAACGTTACGTCAAATATCTTCCATACGACTATCCATGATCCTATGACCCATTGTTCTTTATGAGAAAAATCACATCTGTTATTTCTTATAGAACTACTCAATTAGTTTAGATGCTAGTTTCTCTCTTTGAATAAATACACTAAATTATATTCGATGAATTTTTGCAATAATGACATAGCATCTCTAATGATATTAAGTCATTTTCAAGGCTGAAAGATCTCTTTTTGAAGATTTTCATAATCAATTGTGCATTTGTTTCAATGACCTTTTTTTCACAAATAGAAATAAAAATATATTACTTCATAAAAGATACAATATATGTCTCAGCATATGGCCAAGCCTCTCTACAAAAAGTAAAATTGTGGTTTATGCTGCCTAATCGTAAGAAGCAAATAGATCCTTGATGCATAGCTCCAATCTAAGAAGGAAGAGAGGGGGAAATCGGAATGACAATATCCTCTGATGAAGGTCCAACAATATGTGCCAAAGGTACCTCTTGTAATGACCCCTAATAGAGTCGGTTCCTTGTTGCCTTTGGTTTGATCTAAGGTCCAACAAAAAAAACTGTCACTTTGTCTTTTTAGGGAGACTTGGTCGTGTGCTAGAGATAATTGTGTTTTAAGTAATAGTACTTTATCTTTCTTCGGAAAAAAAAAAATTAGATTTTTTTTTAGAGCCCATAAACTTTAAAAAATTATTAGATAATATTTTTTTTCCTTTCAAAATGATCGTTCTATCTGCTATCGCCCTCTCTTGATTAATTGTTCCTTCGTGCATGGGCTAATAGTCGTCTATGTCTTTGTGCACGAGACTAAGCGAACCACCCCCCTCTTCTCCCTTAGCCTCTTGTGCATTCCATGCAAAGGGATAACGACGGAGGTGGTGCAAGAATGAGACAACAATGGTAGCGACTAAGGTAGTGATAAAATAGTCATTTTATGTAGTTATGAAAAAATATATAATGACATACTTATCCAATCATAATAAATGCGTCTCTAGTAATTTCTAGATATAGAATGATAAAAATCAATTAGGATTTTTTTTTTTTTGCATGAAACTTATACATAATGAATATATACTTGTCACTTGGATATATTATTCTAATACCTCATCTTTCTAAACTGTTTGAATTGGATTAGTGAATCTTTTAATGAAGTTTAGGATATGTTTAAATGGAAAACTAGATGCTCGGGTCGAGTTTGGATCCCTTGGTAATAAGTTAGTCATTGACACTTCTATCTTACGCCACCACGACAAAGAAGCTCGATCATAAGCATTATAATGCATGTGTTATTTTCTAGTTTTGAAACTAATTAAAATCTTAACGGTGTAATGGTGTGACCTAACAGTCATGGTGGATCCCTACAAAGAAGCTTGTGGGGTCGCACCCGATTTCAACATATGCAAAGAATAACTAATAGACGGATGCCACATCATACCACATGGACTTGTGTCCCTCTCCACAAGAACCACCCCGGTTCGAACTGTTCTTTTGTGCTCGTCCACCGAGGTACACTTAGGAGTCACTTCTAGTTCAGAATGAATGGGTTCAGTTCTAATTCTTTAAACCTAAATTGAACCGAATCCAAATATTTTTTGATTTAGAATTGATAGCTTTTATTTTGATTTCGAATTCTATTCTGATTTAAGAATCCAAATATTCATTAGAAACCATGTTGTTCATTAGATCCATTTAAGAATATGGGTGACTTCGTTTCTAATATTAGGTATTTAGGATTATAATCAAATAGGACCAAAATAGTTCCTGGTCCATTTCTAGAACCTAAGGTTCTAGTTCTATTTTTATACATGTATATATATTTAAATTTTAATAAAAATAATTTAAAGTAGTAATAAAATTCATAAATTTATTTTAAAATTTTGATCAAAGTTTTGCTTTTGAAAAGTGGATGCATTTTCATGCACATAATAACATTAAAATGAATAGCAAAATCATCGATCATTGGTATTATGGATGTCCTTATCATTCATTCGGTTGATAGATAAAATAAGTTTTTATTATCTTCGTCTATTATCTTTTGATTTCGTTCCTCCGTTTTGATTTAGTTATCATGCTTGGGCCTCAAATGATTCAAGAGTCGTTTCATTTAAGATGCATCGCCCACGATGAAAGCTTGCTCAATGGCTACTTACTATAGTTGCTAATATTTATCTTGCACCGATGGTTAAAATTAGGAAAATTATTGAATGATACGTCCACACCTATAGTGATATCACTAAATTTAGAAAAAAATCATTAGATAAATAATAAATATAGAGTTTCCACTTAACAATTCCCTTCGTTTCCTTTTATCTTTGCAATAATAATTTCTTTCATCTACAATTATATTTCGATCACTAACTTGGTCCACTTTGAATATTATAATTTATTGCCTATTATAACTTGTACTATATTGGTCATATAAATCAATAACTACTTTTAAACTTTTCATTTTTTTACTAATATCAATATCTGAATGTAAATAATCATAACAATAATAAAATAATTACACAAACTAATTATTCTACAATGAGGATAAAAAATAAAAATAATCAAATCGGACCGATTAGGTTCCGATTCGAATCCAAGCGTGATCCACGGGAGATCCTCCTGCCATCATAAAGATATGAATTTGACCTCAAGTCAACCACAAACAGGTCCGGTCTTCGAAGAGCACCATCGGTGATGCTTTTCCTGTTCCGTACTACAGACGGCGAGACTAATCTGTCAGTGGAGATTGCACCGATAGATTCAGCTGTCATCCACGACAACGCTGTCTGATTGGGAGGATCGTCACAATATCGACCATTCTTCTCCAGCATATATACTATTTTATCGTAGAAATGGTTCACCCAAAGCTTCCTTTGTCAATGCCAAGCCTTCTGACAGGAAAGAATCAACGCCAATACCGTGTTTCTCAGATTATTCCTTTCCCCCATGAGAGATAAACCATTGCTCAGGTTCATCCGACTTCCCTCGAACTGAAAGAACCGCTGCTGAGGAAGGTCTCATGGCTTGGACCAGTAGTCCCATCCCACTTCTTTACCTCATATGGATCGGTTTTCTATTCAGCTCTGGAGATGTTGCTGCTTCAGGGAGATGCATAGAGAAGGAGAGGAAAGCTCTCCTCAGCATCAGAACTGGCATCTCTGATGCTCATGAATGGCTATCTTCCTGGAAGGGCAAAGACTGCTGCAGCTGGGCGGGAGTTGAATGCAACGCCGCCACCGGTCACGTGATAAAGCTCGACCTCCACAATCCTGGCGGTCCATCATCGAACAAAAGCAAGGTGAATCCCTCTTTGCTCGAGCTGAAGCATTTGAGCTATTTGGATTTACGCTGGAACTATTTTGATGGTGCACCCGTTCCTGGCTTCATTGGATCTCTCACCGAATTGGAATCCTTGAACCTTTCGAGCGCCGGATTCGGCGGAACAATCCCCCACCAGCTTGGCAACCTATCCAACCTGCTCTCTCTAGAACTGAGTGAGAATACAATTAGCGGTGGGATCCCGGAGAGCTTGGGGAGTCTTTCAGAGTTGGTTTCGCTGGGACTAGCTCTGAATAGCATCAACGGAGAAATACCAGCAACACTCGGTGATCTGAGAAGTCTACAGATCATGGACTTGAGTTCTAATAATATCAGCGGAGAGATGCCAGGAACCATCGGCAAGCTCAGAAACTTGGAATTGCTAGACCTCTCCTCTAACAAGATTCAGGGGGTGATACCCGAAAGCATAGGGAACCTCAGCAAATTGTGGGCTCTACGTCTGCCCAACAACAAAATCGGTGGAGCAATGCCGGCGAGTCTTGGGAATCTAAGTGCATTGCAGACTTTGGACCTATCAAACAATCAGATTAGCGAACAGATACCAGATTCATTGGGAAACCTCTTTCGCTTAGAATCCTTGAGTATGAACGGCAACAATATAGGGGGAGCAATACCAAGCAGCATGGGAAATCTATGCAACTTGAGCAGTTTGGATGCTTATGGGAACAGAATAAGAGGACAGCTTTCTGGTTTCATCGAAGGCATGTCAAGATGCAGAACCAGCGGCATTCGGTATCTTGACCTGCAGAACAATGAGATCAGTGGTCCTATTCCCAATGAGATAGGGAAACTTCAAAGCTTAACACGTCTTAGCCTTGGTTCGAATTCATTGAGTGGTCCGATTCCTGCATCCTTGGGGAACTTGTTTGCACTCTCTGATCTAAATCTTTCTTCGAACTCCCTGGTAGGGGCACTATCCGAAGCCAACTTTGCCAATCTAACATACTTAGATAGTTTGGATCTATCCCACAACTCGTTGACAGTGAATGATACCCAAGATTGGCTTCCTCCATTTCAAGCCACTCAGATCAGAATGCGCTCTTGCAACTTGGGGCCCAAGTTTCCTCCGTGGCTGCAGAACCAGACTAAGTTGAGTGTTCTTGATCTATCCAGCAATGGGATATCAGATACTTTTCCTGATTGGTTTTGGAACTTGTGTTTGTCAGACTTAAATCTCAATGTTTCTTATAATTATATGAAAGGAGGTCTGTCGAGCTCGATAGAGTGTTTCTGGACAGTGATTGTTGATTTGAGCCACAATAACTTGGAAGGTTTCATTCCTAGGATGGATCCCATGCTTACATTTTTGGATCTCTCAGACAATTTGTTCTCTGGGCCTATTCCTCCGGCCATGGCTGCTGGGACTGACTACTTGGCTTTCATGCTTCTGTCCAATAACAGACTGAATGGCACCATCCCATCCTCCTTCTGCGAGGCAAATCATTTGGAAGTTCTCAACCTCGCCAACAATGGCTTCTCGGGAGCACTCCCGGACTGTTGGAACGATTCATTAGCCTTGAAGATAATTGATGTGTCAGGCAACAAAGTATCGGGTGGCATTCCCAAGACATTGGGTCTTTTACCTCAACTCAAATCATTGCACTTGAATGACAATGGCCTCTCTGGTAGAATTCCCTCGAGCTTGCAACACTGCAAGGACCTGGTGACCATCAATCTAGGCCAGAATAGATTGTCTGGTGCCATACCCAGATGGATTGGGGAGAAGCTCTCGTCGTTGAAGGTACTTCGTCTGCGCTCAAACATGTTTACTGGTGCCATTCCGCCGCAACTATCGCTTGTTGCCTCCCTGCAAGTGCTGGACCTCGCTCGGAACAATCTTTCTGGTGCGCTGCCTCCAGCTTTTGGCAATTTTAGTTCCATGATATCGATACAGAATGAAACCAAGCCTGTTCTCGGAGAGGAAGGCACTTACTATACGGAGAATATCGTCGTAGATGCAAAGGGGCTCAAGCTGTACTTCACCACTGTGCTCTCGCTCGTGACGAGCGTAGACCTCTCGGGGAACAATCTCTCCGGGGAGATTCCCGAAGAGCTGACGAAGCTTCATGGCCTCCACTTCCTGAATCTGTCGGACAATCGTTTCTCAGGAGACATGCCACAAAACATCGGTGCCATCGGACAACTTGAATCGCTGGATCTTTCCAAAAACAAATTGTCAGGTAGGATTCCTTCGAGCATCTCCGCCTTGAATTTTTTGAGCCACTTGAACTTGTCATACAACAATTTTTCTGGAAGAATACCGTCGGGCAGTCAACTCCGAACCTTCACCGATCCATCCATCTACGCTGGGAATCCTCAACTTTGCGGACCACCACTTTCGGACAAGTGTCCTGACGATGCACCGTCGGAGATCCCCACTGAGGCAAGCCAAGAAGAGGATGTGGATGAGGATGAGAATGGAATCATCTGGGTTTTTATTGGCTTTGCGCCTGCGTTTGTGCTCGGATTCTGGGGATTCATTGGCACAGTGATGATCGATAGGAGAAGAAGGATAAGATACATCCAATTTCTTGATATGATCTGTAACTGGTTTACGCATCGGTAGGACTAAATCTTCTGATGCCAAAACCGAGAATAAATTTGTGCTACATGAAAGTGCTTATACTTCTATACTTTCAAACCTACCTTTGTATGTCATGAAAGTGTCCCTTGTGTCCTCTCGGCGAAGAAGTATCTCGAGCACCCGATGTGGCTCGTAGGTAAAAAAATCTTCCGTTTCTCCATTCGCAAATAGAACTTTTCATGGATAGATATATCCCAAACGCTTGATGCATCCTTTATTGATATAAACATCTAAAACATATGATTAACTTAAATAAATAATTTATAAATATTTTTATAAGATCATTACTTATTATTATTTTCTTTTCTTTTTTAAGTAGACTATCACTACTAGTTTTATTAAAAGAAGCCACATTTATGGGGTTAAGTAAGACACAATAAATTCCTTCGTGTAAGACATTCGAAGGTACGAGTCTTTCACATCTTTACTCCTCGTCTCTTCACACGGAGGGTGTCGCCATTTAATTCGGTTGTATCTTATGATAGTGTTTGAAGAGGTAGAGCTAACCATCATTATTCTTCAAGAACATAAATTTATATTCTTCCAATTTTTATTTAGAAAATAAAATATTTTATATATATATATATATATATATATATATATATATATATATATATATATATATATATATATATATATATATATATATATATA